CATCTTCATTCTTCATCTAAATTGATTCGTATTTTTTAAATTGTTTGTTCACTTGGATTCATAGTATGTCATCGTTAAACTTTGAAAATTTACCATTACAATATGTAATCGTTAAACTTTTGAACATTTTCTATTAGTCTATTATGGTTTGTAATCGTTAAACAATATTTGTAACAATTAATGTATATAATTTGTATTCTTGCTTATTTATTTAGTGTTTTGGCAACGTTTTATTTTTTATTTCTAAATAACAAAATTTTAATATTTTAGGAAGCGGGTACCCGGAACCGGAACCGGTTCCCGGCGGTTCCGGTTCGGGTTCCAAAATTTTAAGAACTGCTCTAACCGGTTCCGGTTCCGGTTCCAATATCTCAAGAACCGCCGGTTCCGATTCCTGTCAAAAAGGGCGGGTACCCGCCTATGCTCACCCCTAAAGCCGACCAACCCGTATGGGTTGGGTTCAGTTGCACTTTGGTTTGAGTTGGATTGAGTTAAGATTTTTCCAAACCGCAAGCATTAGGTTGGGTTGTTCAAATATCTTCAATCCGATCAACTCAACCCATAAACACCCCTAACGTTGGGGGTTGGTGGTGGAATGATAACATTAATTGGCGATGATGGTGGCGGTGGGGGCAGAGATGTTGGCACAAACCGGAAGTAATGAGGATGGGGGTGTTGGTTAAATTTGATGCAAAAGATGTCTTTTTAAAACCAAATTATAATATTTGCCACGAAATTAAATTCAAATATTTTACTTATGTCAAAGAATATCTCAAGTTCATCAATCGTGAAACTTGACGGAATCCGATCAATTCAACCCGTAACACCAAACACCATCAAATAATTTGGTCAAATAAATTTATCATTTCAATTTCATAAAATTCCTTCAAATTCCACAAACAATAAAATTTGTCTTCTTACGAATGTGTTTTATAAAATAATCTATACTATATTATAAAACATTTGACAAAAACTTTTAAAAACTAATTTTTATGAGTAAAGTACTGTTTATTAATGCATATTACTTAAAACTCAAGATTGCAAAGTAGATTGTGCATAATTACAACTTATTAAAGCTCCATATCTGAATTCGTATAACTAACTGCAGATAAACATAATCAAATACAGGATAAACATCTCATTTTAAATATAAAAAATTTAAAATATAATTAGGATAATCATTGAGTTCTAACAGAATACTTAATTATTATCTTTATAAAATGTTATATTATTAGACCA